TGCTGCTGCTGCTGCTGCTAGGTTGGTCATTGTTGTGTGACGTTCAACGTCACTGGTGTTGTCATGGCGCCAATGTGCCTAGTGTCGATGCATGCTCCTTGTTATGTTATTCTGCTGTCTGGAATTTCTACATTGTGCTATCTGGCTTGTTGAGCTTACATCCTGTTTGATGCACCTGTGGAGGCCCCCAGGCAGGCCTTTCTGTTGTGGGGAACCAGCGAGCTACGGTGCCTTGCAAGGATTTGCTTGCTGCTTCTTAGTAGGAGAGGAAGGAGTTGAATAGCACTTGGAGACGAGATTATATATGGGCTACTATAGGGATCCGCTCCCCCATTCCCTTCTGACAACCAGAGGTTTGTATAAGCAACTGCTGCTCCTGAGACGCACCACTGTCCTTCATGGGTACTCTATGTGAGAAAGCAACTTATGTCTCAGGTCCAGGGTTTTAGGCTTCTTGCAGAACAAGGCAATCCTTACTTAGCTAGTTGTGTGTTGGACTTCTGCAACATTGCGCAACAAGAAGGTTCAGGTTTTTCAGCTACGCGAAGTTGAGCAAGAATTGGAAACCCAACTTGATCTTCTTGACTGCAGCAGAGCATCTTGTCGCATTTATATACATGACACATGAAACAGTCTCTTTCCTGTTGCTTAAAGGCATAATGTACAGATGGCTAGTGTTGCTGGTGCTCATGTTGTTGCGGCGCCTGCAAGCCCAAGGGGGCAGTAGCGGGAGTGATAGTAGCTGTGACGCGGTTCTCAAAATATTCACCCCAATCCTTGCAAGCAAGCGGCATGGATTTCCGCCGTCATGTAGAAAGCCTAGCTGAGCATCCATTCCAAAGCAGCACTCCGCATCCTGATTCGCCAAATGGCTTTGTCTGTACGTAGCTCAAGCAGCACGTGCTAACCAACTCTGAGCACTTTCGGAGGGGTTTCAGGTGTCCCGCGCGTTCACCTCCAAATGTACCACAAGGTCTGCGTTGCTGTGCACAATTGCAGTGAAGCTTGGCTGGGGGGCGCGCTAAATTGTACTCACGCTCTCTTCTTGCCACAGTTTCCATCAGGTTTTTCCACGAGTTATGGTTCCTCGCGTTCACAAAGATTGTTTTCAGTCTTGATAGGATTTAGCAGCGTTGGTACTGTAGAATGTAGGAGAACTCGACCAGCTTGCATACTATGCGGTCTGCCTACTATGGCGACCAGAAATGGCTTGCATGCTGTTAGATGTTTTTTTCGTCGCCATGCAATGGCTCCAAGCACTGGAATTCTGTGGGTGCTGCCACACAAAGTGTGGGTGCCCAATAGCACAGGTTCACGCCAGTCTCGGCTAGATTTGAAGAATCCAATTGCCTCCACGACTTGCATCCCTGTATGCTTGTTGCCCTTTATATGTGGAAATAAATAATGCACAATCAAATTAAAGGACATTGAACATGAATTTGAAACTGGGGATTCTGTAGGGGTGATAGGGTATTATGTAATCCGCGTCCTAAAAAGTTGCCAATATCATGTTGAGGCCTACTTGAGCTACCCCACGCCACATTTACATAGCTGTCCGAGAGGACTTTCGACTGTAGAAGTTGGATACTGCCCACACATAGTAACAGTTGTAGAATAACTATGATATACTTATAGATATAGCCCTTAGCATTACCCTAGTATAGTTTGTTATTGGGTGGGGGCAGTACCCAGTCTAGAAGCGCGGCCGATCTGCCTAAAAGGCAGCTTCAGTCAGCGCGTAGGCTGCCCGGACAAGCGAGCAGTGTTGTAGTGTTTTACCGGAGGATCATAATGTAGTTCCGTAAACTGCGGGGACTGCTATATGGAGCCCCAAATACTATCATCCTCATTTTTGGGACCTCGTCATAATGGTAACCCCAATTTTTGGAAACCTTCGTATGGTACAGAGGATTATCATGGAATCCGTTCGAGAGGGGTTATAGAGGATATACAGGGGGTTTTAGGAGTAATATTTGTTTTGGGGATACTATGGTCTTCAATATAAGATTGAGGCTTTAATAGAACATCGAACAAAACATCAAACCACAAACGACACGAACACGGGGATCATGTAGCAGTTATGTCGTCTTTTACTTGGGGATACTACGGTCCCGTATCCAGACTAAGATTATGTCCTCCTTGTTAATGGTGTTTATTCAAGGATGGTATGACCTTACTCATAGAACTTCAGATCCTTCTTCGTACAAGCATCAAGCCATGAGTTTCAAGAGTTATTCTGCTCTTCTTGCAGCTGCCGATGTCCGGGTAGCAGGTCCAGCATGTTTCGCCTGGTTGAAGCGCCCTCTTTGCATGATTCGAGCCATGATGCAAAGCCACTTTGTTGCAAGTAAGACTGGATGAGATTGTTTATGGTAGTTTCCCACAATGTAGACCCCAATATACCTTAATCATTATTATGGGGACTCTCAAAAATAAGGTAACCCCCGTCCCCCCCAGTTGTTGGAAACCCACTTATCCTCCGGACTTCTACATTCTACACCTGAAAAAGTTGCACTGTGGTGATGAGGTTCCGTTGAGGAGCGTTTCTACATGTACCTGGACTGGGGGGTTTAGGGTCTAGGGTTTAGGGCTGTGTCGTTTTGGCGTGCCATGCGTTGCAGCCCCTGTCGTCTTTCTGAAGTTGCTCTTCTAACTTCTGAATCTGCTTCCGAGTTCGTATGTTCGCACACAAGCTGCGCATGCCTGTAAACCTGCAGAAGCCAGCACATCGACAAGTCCTAAGCTTAGCTCTCAGTCCCAGCAAGTAGCAGCATGCAGCGCAATGTCGGTCGTGATGGTCAAGTGAGAACTTTCAGAACGAGATGTTAGCCAGAGTTGCCACAACAGTAAGACACATTCATCGGGTTTAGGTTTTAGGGTTAGATCATGCTCCGTCTGCATACCCCGCAGAAACGCAGCATCCGAATGTCATAATCCCTAAGCGACTTGTCCTGACAGAGAATAAGATTATCAATTATCTCTTCCATTCTGTATACTGGTAGTTTCCCCAAAATAGGGGACCCCAATATAGACCCCCACATACTAGAGTCCTTATTATTGGGCTCCCTAACATATACCCCTATATAACCCCATATAACCCTATAATGTAGTAGTTTCAATTAATATCAAGAAAACTAGTTACAGAAGTGCTGGCAGGAGCCCAGTCGCTTTCGCAGCTCGAAACGAGAGCATTCCCAGGCGGAATCAAGTTTAGGGTTTAGGGTTTAGGCGGTAGGTTTGAGGCTTTAGGGTCATGATGTCTTATTGACTACATGGTGTGCAGTGGGGAAGGAGGCATTGGATTCCTATAGTAGTTTTTCTGTAGTATTATAGTGGTCCCATGTGGTCCCTATAGCCCTTGACCCGTTTCCCTACTCGGCCGGGGAGCTGAAGGCGCCTTTACGGCTACAGGATTAAGGACATGTCTGCTGACTAGCAAGTTGCATGAAAACCCGCGTGTGACAAAGCATGGGTGACAGCTTGTAAGGCAACCATTCTAGGTTTGCTTGCCGAACTCTGGTTCCCATGAAGCAGAGCATTTCTCCTTCTGCAGAGGATTTAGCTTCAGCAATGCCATCTGCAGTATGATCACATTGATCGTAGGAAGCAGTCACAAATAGCCGTAGTATGAAGAAGATTGCCATGACAATCGAGCTCCCGACAGCGTACTTGGGGAGCCTTGCATTCAATGGAGGCTTTTGCATCTTCCGAGGCCTTTCGTGCTAGAGGCTGTCCAAGTGGACGTGTCCGGGACCCAGGCAATATGCCATGGTTGAGTCCCTCTTCGGAGGTCCCCATAATAAAGGGTTGTAGCATTCTAGAGTCTATATTAGGGTCACCCCAATTGATAGAAACTACCACGCCTCATGACATGATGTGTGCTTTGGAGAACAAGAGCAGCACTCGAAGTTTGGAAAAGCGTCCAAATCGGGATCATGCAGCCAGCCGCTAGTGCTGTCATTGCAGCTTTGGGTAATGCAACGAATGCAGGAATATTTTGCAGTGACAAACTTCACTGTGGTCCTCGGAACATTGACTGCGCCTCCCCCTTCTAGTTGCTTTTATCAAGCTTACCGGCCTTTCATGGGAACAGGAGACTCAGGTTTAAGTATGACCTTGAGAGGGATGTTGGAATGCGACTTGGCCAAGGTTTTTTTTCACAGGTTTTTTTGGGTGAAAGTCAGCGGTGGGAAGCCTAGATGTCTTGCATCTGTTGGCGGCTCACAGAGGTGACAGCTGCTTGAGCGAGCCTTAAAAGGCATTCCATCAGGAGGATGGATGCCGACTTCAGGGAATGCTGTGCTCATGGCTTCTTTGGTTCACTCTTCCGAGCTTCGTGGTTCCACAAGAGCCTGCCAAATCACCACCCTCCGCTCTGGCTGCGGCGGTCAGCGCAGCGGCAGACGAGCATGCGGCAAGTGCTCGAATCTTGGCGCTTGAAATGCCAGTGGCCGACGTCTTCGATTCCACAACTGCAAAGCCGACCCGCGTTGCTCGGCGTGCAGCATATACATCACTGCCTGGGTCGATGCCACTGCCGGCAGCAGAAGCCAGTGCAGCCATTGCAGCTGCTGCTACTGCGGCATCGGCCTTTGCGGAAAATGTGGCCTTGGGGGAGCTCGCGCTCCAAGGCAAACCTGCACAGCCTGCCCCAGATCCTGGTTGCTGGCAGGATGGCTACAGTGCGGAGCTATGTTGCAGAGACCCCCCCGTCACTGATTGTTGGGATGCTGTGTTCACACGTCAGCGTTGCTGCGCCCAGGCTACGAAGCCCCAGGCAACAGGCGAACCGCATCTCTCTGCAGAGGTGGCGGCAGTCGTGGCTGCAGCGGCAGCGCGCAACGTGCAGGCGGGCGAGCACCAGGAGCTGCCACCGAAGAAGGAGCTGAGTGAAGCAAACGAGCAGCAAGTGTTCCTGCGGCAAGAAGCACAGCGGCGGTGGCCTGCCTATTTCAACAGGGCGCACGAAACCCTTAATGCTGCTCAAGGGTCATCCCCTGGCCAGCCTTCCAGCAAACCAGATCCGGTTCAGCTTTATCATTTGCTGTATGAAAGCATAAACCAGGTAGTTGGAGGCCTTGCATTGGCCGCCGACGCCTCGCAAAGCGATGCCGAGCTGAATTCAGCGTTTCTGAATGCAGCTGTTTTGCTTGCTCGCTTGGCCCGTGCCAGCCGCGGGACACCGCTGGAGCATGAGGATTTCTCCGCCCAGGCTAGTGCGGCGGCTGCGCTGGGCTGCCGGCATCCAGGCAGCGCGCAGTGTAACCTGACTGAGAGCCTGCGTCGACTGGAGATGCCCCCAGAAATTGGCATTGACTGGCTTCGAGAAGCCTTGCGGGAGATGAATGCAAGCCAGGAAGAGAGGGTGGAGCATCTGCAAAGATACCAGCGCACTTGGCTGAAGTATTCTCAGAATCCTGCCAAAGCATTGTGGCGGCCTGCAGGTGGCTTCTATGCTCATGCAAGACTCCAAATCTAAATGGGGACTACCTACATGGTTGGGCATGGCATTGACTAATTACTTTTGTGAACTGATTCAGTCTGATTCTAACTTTGTTGAATGGCTCGGCCTTTTTCTGTTTGATAGATGTGTTGCATTCTTGTGAAGCCCGTGGCAGGTCCGGATGGTCATCAAGGTGGGCGCACAAATACCTACAACCCGCTGGAAACGGGGCAGCTGCGGCAAAGTGTGCGTGGGTCCGGAAGCATTTGGCAGCTGTTTCCAACGTACATCATGGCGCGGGAGCACGGGGCGGGATTGTAGCAAAGTTTTTGGGGTAGTTTCCCGAAATGGGGGGAACCCAATATAGGCCCCCAAAATTTATGCTCCTTATTATACAAAGGGACCCCAATTTTTGAGAACGCCCCGCATGAGCCTCATCTCTGACAGTCTGAAAGCTTGTTGATGACCATTCAATGCCTGTGTCCTCTGCATGAATCTTAGCCTTCGACAGCTGGCCATGATTGCAGCCTAGTGCTTAGTCTCGCAACAAGGTTCCCCATCATGTCTGCCCAAACTCCATGAGAAGTGTGTGCCACCTACAAAACGGGGCCCTGCAAGTTCGAGCACTTTAGAAGCCCCTCTCGTCCTGAGATAGGGTAGAAGGACACGCCCACAAATCCTGGCATGATTCAGCAGAGTGTCATCAGGAGATAGGCCATGCGTTTTCTTCATCGAGGGAAGCTGACAGCTGCGTGGCATGCCAGCAGCTCACTTCGATCGTGCAGCTCTGCCTTTTTAGCCCGAAGCAGGTGAGTGTCTTCTCCGTGCTTGTATAGGATTAAAACCTAATCCCTAAGTCTCACTCATTCCCTGCCTGCCCATATGTGTATATGTACATATGTGCCAGGCTTCAGAAGTACCAGCAGTTCCGAGACACGGGATTCGCCCAGAACAGCCGGCAAGATGATGTGAACAATGCATTCTTCAATTGGCAACTTACCCATGATGCGGAGCAGGAGGAGGATGGGTCAGCAGTGTGGCCCGAGCTGTATCGAGACTCCAAGGACTTCCAGGAACTAAAAGCCTTGGTGAAGCTCTCATCGCTGGAGTACCTTCAGCAGATCTACTCGGCAACGTTGTCTGATGCAGATCTTGCACAGCTTGAGCTCTCTATCTGGGCTTCTGTGACTCCACCCAGTATAGGTGCAGAGGACAAGACCATGGGCTTGGCATTCCATGACCATCCCCTGGCACTCCTCAGTGGCGTTTTCTACGCTGAAGCAGGGGGTGAGCTTGTCGCGGACCGCACACCCACGGTCTTTGCCGACCCGCGCGGAACGACCGCCTTCCGCTACACGCGGATGCGCAGCGATGATGGGGAAGCTACGCTGGAGCCCACAGCTCCCTTTCATCGGCTGGCTTATGCTCACCCAAGGAATGGCCTGTCCTTGGTGTTTCCCTCTTGGCTGGTTCATGGTGTGGCACAGCACCGAGGCCCCAAAGACCGTGTGGTGTTTGCCTACAATCTTCACAGTCTCCCGGGCACAACGCTTGCAAGCTGGGCCAAGACTACACTCTGAGATTTTCTATTGGAACATGCCCATGAAGCTCTGCTGCTGTATGCACTGAGACAAGGTTGCGCTTGGCTTCTGAAGCATGCCGGACAGGACAAGATTTCAGTCAAGGATCATTGCCTTGGAGGAATCGTGTTCAGATCTCCGTGCTCCTTGATGATACCGGGAAGTAATGGATCTGGAAGCAGCGCCGAGCCTGCCAGCTCTATGATGTTGACTTAGCTGCACGGGTGACACAGCTGTTTTATCGTGGTGTCCCTGTAGCCGCTCCAAAAGCTCCAAGCGCACAGTGGTCGAAAAGTGATTTTACGGGCAGTGTCACGTCTGTTGCTGCAATGTCGGGACCCTGCCTTGAGACTTAACTACAACCCACCCATCTCTCGTGCAGCCATTTGTATGTCAGCCAAAGAATCGCTGGCAGCAAGTTGAGCTTGAGATTGTCCCACTGTCGGATGATGTCATGATGCGATCCTACCCCTCCCCACCCGGGAGGCATGCACATGGCTTTTTTCCCTAGGATAGGACCCACACTCGCTTCCAACTGCAGCTGGAACTTGCGGGAGCCGTGCGTATACCGCAGCCATGGTGATCCCATGGCCTGTGCCTGCCCGGAAGACTGTCATCTTTGACGTGGGCTTACGTGGAATCAGCCTGGGCCAGCTGCGCCAGCTGGCGGACTATCTCAGGCCCCGGCCCCGGGCCATGGCCAGCACTCTCGGGGTTGCCCTATGTATATGTATATTGTCTAAGCAACTAAATAAACAGATATATATATATATAGATATACGTATTATGTATATTGTCTATATAGATATATGTTTTTTGAAGACGGACACTGCTATAGTATATTGGCATGTCAAACGGAAAAGTAGATGGAAACTTGGGCCTACATCTGGGGATTGTATGGCTGTTTTGATAGGCTGCGGAAACCGACACTTCTGCTATGTCATATCAGGTACATCAGGTGTTTTGCGGAAGGTGTCTAGGTACACCATTTGGGCAACTAAAGTTCTCATACAGCTTCTTATGCAAGAACTTCAGGCCCAAATGGGTCCAAATGTTGTACCTAGATACGAAGATGCTTGCCGCCAGGATGCCCAATGCAGCAAGGGGATCACTCTTTCATCCAACGCAGTTCTCTGCTGGTATTGGTATGGTTCTGAAAGCTATCACAAATTTTGTTCGCTTCAGGCGTCTTTGCAAGACGGGATCTCTTCGCCACACGCCGGCTTCCAGGGGCCCCTTGGGCGAACGGATCCAGTGGACGCAGAGCCTTAGCGGAGTTTGGCCAAAGCAGGTAAGTGCAGACATGTGTAGCACAACAGAACTAGGTGGTCCTGGAAACGTGCAGAACGCAGGTACATGACATCTACCTTAAGGTTGGCATCAACATTGACCAGCCATGCTATGCTACAGGTTTTCTTTCATGGGGCTGCTGTGGATAAAGGAGTTCTTGGGCCGCCTCATATCACCAAGGGAATGACAGCCTTTCAGGAATTCTTAGCGCTACAATGGGGTGCCAGCATCATTTGGGATGGTTCGGCTCGCCTCAGAGTGCTGCACAGCAGAGGATCACGATGTACGAAATTTGCAACGAAGTGGTCAAGCCTGTCACGTGGCTGGGTCCAAGAGGCTGCTAGTAGAAGTAACAGCAACCATAGTAGACCACCAACGGAAATAGTATGATTGGCAGGCTGTATTTCTCAGGGCTAAAGCTACCCAGATGGCCAGCACGATTTATGGTCGCTGGCACAAAGGCGAACGGGTCTTACATGCAAATCCGGATCAAAGGTTTGGGCTGCAGGACTTCAGGGATAAACTGACAACTATTCAGATTGCCAGGGGCAGTGTATTTGGTCGGCGCACGATGCATGCAGTGACCATACATTGGAAAGGCATGAAGGGCCCTCCGACAGCATGGGTCTGGTCGTGGGCATTTTTACGCCCTGCATCCTACCATCTTCATACAATGAGGTTCAACCCTAAACCCTCAACTGTAAAGCTGAAGGTGTTCCGAAGGCCGAGAACATCCGTCTTGAAATTTTTGCTAACCCAAACGAGGTCATCAGCTCGTTAGGCGTTTGCGAATGCAGCTGGGTGGAGCTGGTGGCAAAGGGTCCCCAGCGGCCACACACTTTCATCTCCCACTCCTGGAAGGACGACAATTCTATAAATTGGGATACAGGGGTTATATTAGGGGTTACATAGGGATTATTGAAGGGGTTATATAGGGGCTATATTGGGAGAATGGAGAAGAAAATGGAAACTACTATTTAGGGTTTAGGGTTTATAGGATGCCACACGTATTGCAGCCTTTCGAGGCCCGCGGGCGCTTTCCCATGGCTTTGGAAAGTTGCCATTATTTTGGGGGGTTGTGTTGTCGATCTCTGCAGGAAGAATTGTAAAGGGGTAGCTCAGGGAACACTGCTTGGCCCTGCGTTCCCGATAGGGATTAGTAAACAACTCCTTTTTTGGGGGGCGCCTTTTGCTAATCAGTTTTGTCTGTCGAGATGGGAGCCGGTTCCACTCAATTTTTACCAGTCGATTGTGCATAGCGGACGCGCGGCATTCGTCGTCCTTTGATATTTGTTATGTTCGTGTTTTTTTTTATGCGTCGCGAAATTGAATTCTTGCCATGCAATGTCTCAGCCTGTTTCTGTCGACCTAGCTTCCGTTGCTCGCCTGGGCTGTTCTGCGCCGCAACGCGGGAAACTCGTTGTTTTTTTGTTCGGTATGTCGTTCGGAGTGCGGTTTACGTTGCCTCAGGCCTTTTGCAAAGGAGAGGGTGGTGGAGTGGTTCCGCAAGTTCCAGCCTGGAGAGGTTCTTGCTGGAATTCAGGCTTAGGCTGGCATGTTTTTTTTTTGTTGTTGTTGTTTCTGGGTTGTGAGCGTTGTATCAGGCGATGGACGTCCAGCACCGGCGCAAGCTGGCAGTACTGCTTCGCCTTTCGGACGAGTTTGTTTTTGTTCTACGGCTTTTGTGCTTGTTTTTTCTCAGGGCCCGTCTTCAAGGCCGATGGCGATGACAAGGCGATCTGAGCGCATCTTTTTTCTTGGCTTTCGTTTTGTCAACACTGCAGGTCTGCGCGGTGCGCAAATGTCCTTCCAAGGCAAAGTATCGGGTGTGGCTGGAGGAACTGATCGATGCCGCAGGTGGGGATGCTTGCACTCACACCCTTGCGCTTGCAGGTTTGCTTGTGGTACAGGTCAACTGGCCGTTCTGAGGGGAACTGCCCCATCGTGGCGGGCGACTATCTCTGCAACAAGCACCGCTCGAAGTGCTGCAGATTTGGTGTGTGCTACTTAGATGCTTTGCGTGGGTTATTCAGGCCACGTGCTTTGGTGTGTAATCAAGGCTCCAAAGCGTGCTGCAGGATCTGGCCGCCGGCGTCGGGGCAGCGTCCCCAACCCCGCGCCGCCTGAGGGTTCTTGTTTTGGTGGGTGGTTTTCGCAGCGGAGGGGGCTGCTGACAGGCCCCTCCTAGCCCGGCCTCCTCCTCTGACTGAGCTGTGAGGGTCTCTCTGGTTGGGGCAACATGCTGGCAACTTGCGGAATGAACATCTTTGAATACGAAGGAAAACCCACCCAGCCCTAATTCTAAAGGAAAGTAGTCCATTACTTCCTATGAGAAAGATCCTTACTATGGTGCCTTAGCGTGGTTGGTGCACTACTACGGCCTGCTGAGGGTTTAGCGCTTAGGGTTAAGGGTTGTCGGATCGTCTGCTTCGCAGTCAAAATCTAAGGTTAGAAGTGTGCGCCCCAAATTTGGGCCCTAAGGCCTCTTAGGGGGATGCTAGGGACCCTTGAGCCTACATGTAGGGCATATGGAATGTCTAAACTGATCCCAGGGTTAAGCGCCCATACTAGGGGCCCATGTTTTCAACGATGCAGGCGTCTAGGATGACACTAGGTACAACTGGTGCCTCACTTTACCTACTGTTTACTACTCATGAGCCTCCGACTAAAAGGCTATAGAATGGGTGTTCCCAGCTTCTAGATTATAGTCCCCCTTAAGTAGATTAAGGGGCAAGGGGGACTATAAATTTAGCATGGTGGATCTGGCCTCGTGCCAGGCACGACTTTTGGGGCCCCCACTAAGTAGATAGAATATGGCTTTGGGTATATTATGCTAAGATCCCCATGCATCCCATATTCTTTCTACTTAAGGGGACTATAGGGTTTTGTGGATAAAGGTAAGGCCTTTTGGAGGTTTGAATCCCCAACTGTGTAGTCCTCTGAGAATGGATACGGTACAATCCTCAATACATAAACAAACTTGATTCAATTACCGGTAGCAAACCCACACCAATTGCTGCATTTCGAGGCCCTTCGCTCTTTTTCAGGCTTTTGTTGCGTTCTTAATTTACTGGTAGTAAGTAGGGAGCAAGGGGAAATGATCACTGTGAGACTCCCCATATGATACATTCCCTTATTCCCTACTAAACCTCAACAAAAAACCCTTATACCTTATATACATATACATATATACATATGTGTGTGTTTGATTTACATATACACACATATATATTCCCTTGTTCCCTACTAACCCCCAGTAAATCCAGGAGTTTTTCCGCGATTTCATGTCCACAGTTTTCAATCTGGAAATGGAGCGCGGCTTGACGGCTGCCTGACTTGAAAGTAACAAATGAGCTTAGGGAGTTATAGTGAGATCTATAGGGTTTAGGCCCAAAGTTTAGGCTTTAGAGTAGATGGGTTTTTTACAGCCGTTGCGCCTTTCCAGCCCCAAACCCTAAACATTGGAGAAGCAGCCTTAGTTTCAACAGTCAGCCTTTCCTTGCGGACAGCTTGTCAGAGAAAGCTAGCATGTAGTTTAGATTTAGGGTTTTGGAAGTCTGGAACGCATTTTCAAACAAAACCTCGATCATGGCAACACTGGAAAGAGGCGATGGCAAAGAAAGGCAACCATGGCAGGATTGGCATTAGCAATGCTAAAGATATCATTGATTGGTGAGAATGATAGGACCCACGATCACCTGCAACGCTTG